ACATTTAAAAACCTGGATGAATAAACTTTGATACCCCCCCAAGTGGCAGCAGGCAAAACTAAAATGGCGTCATTTTTAAAAACAAAAAAAAAGACATCTAACGGCGAATAAATGAAATAAAATAAAAACCAACCTCTAACTGTTTCAACCCCTAGGAAATTTTTTTTTTCGTGTGACTGTTTTTCCAGAATTTTCTGAAGAAAGGAAAAAAAAGGTTAGAAGGAGAGGGAGGGGGAGAGGGAAAATTTCCTTTTCAATAATTTCGAATGAGAAAAATTAATAAAATTTGGGTTGGAAAAAAATAAAAATAATAATTTTATCGAAGGTATAAAGGTTACGAAACATTGAGGGGAAATCCTACCCTATATACGGGGAATAAAAACAAAGTTCAAGTTCAAGACTACAATTTTTTTCTTTTTTACGTTCATTTTTCAACCCCTAAGACATGAACGGTTCCGCATGAGGAAGAAGGGGAGGTGAAAAGGGAGGGAGGAAAAAAATAAAAATAAAAGCCTGACAAAAACAAAAAAAAACGTCACGACAACCTTGAAAGACAGAGAAAGAGAGAGATAGAGGAAAAGAAAAAGGAAAAAAAAGAGAGAAAAGAGAGAGAGAGAGAGAGAGAAGGAAAAGGGATGAATAGGGTTTTAAAAAACGGAAAAGGGGAATTTATAGTACTAAAGAGCCGAGTTGCGTTTGGGGGTTTGTTTTTCACGATCGATTTTTACAATTTTGACCCATTTTCCTTTTGAACCTTTTCCCGTTTTTTTTTTCTTATAGCCCTTTGGTAATTTTCGACGGGGAAAAACGGAAAATTTTTTTAATTGAACCAAAAGTCTTTCGTTTTTCATTTTCTATCGTAACCCAATCGACTAATCGACTTCACGATAAATCGATAATTTTTTTTATTTTTAATACGTGATGATCGACACCTCACGGGGGAAAATTTAAATTTTTTCCTTTTTAAACGGATGATGATATTCTTCGTCAATTGTTTTTTTTCGAATCACCTTACAAATTCATTATTCAATTGACCCCCCGTTAGTCTACGTCATCATTATTCGCACGTGAAAAATAATTTCACGTGCGAATTTTTTCTTTTTTTTTTTTTTTTTTGAAAAAAATAAACAAAAAAATTTTAAATTTCGAATTTCACAAATTACTCACGCTTTCATCAAACTAACAATTTTTAACTGATATAAAATAAGAAAAAATAAGAATGAAAGAAAATTATAATTAAGGATGAAAATACCGAAGAAAATTTAAAATTAAATTAATTTTCTTCCGACATTTTTTAAATTTTGGTTGTTGTACGTTTTTTTTTTTCAAAACCAATTTCTAAACACTTTTTCAATTTTTATTCTTCGTAAAATTTTTCCATTACCCCTCCCCCCCCTCCCCTCCTCCACCCCGCCTCCCACAATTTTTATTTTTTTATTTTTTTTTTTTTTGCATTTCTGTTTAAAAGTTTTTTTTTTTTTTTTTACGACTTTAAAATGGCGTCGAATGAAAGAAATATTTCGTTTGTTTGTTTGTTTATTACTATTATTATTATTATTTTACAACAATCGAATTTATTTTAATAAAAAATTATTATTATTATTATTATTATTATTATATAAGGGGCAAATTTTGATTTCGAGTATTGTCCCCCTTCTCCCTTACATTTTGCCAACAAAAATAAAAAATTTGATGATCGATTACTGTCGAACGACTCATTTTTGATTCCCCCCCCCCAACTTTTCAAAATATTAATAATAATAATAATAATGAAAAATTACGAACGCAATGAAAAAAAGTAAAATTTAACTGAAAAACAAACAAACGTAGGATTCTACGATTTTTTTTTTTTTTTTAGATTCAAAACAGTTTCAAAACATTTAAAGTTTTAATAGAAACGGATTAATAATAAATTTGTTTCAAAAAAAAAAAAAAACTCTATAAAACGCCTACAACCCTACAACTCGACTCGATAACAAAAAAAAAAAAAAAAAAAAAAAAAAAAAATGAAATTCGGGACGAAAGGAAAGAAAGAAAAGAAAGGAGAAAAAAGGTACTAAAGTGTTCAAATAGAAAGTAAATCACGTCATGTTTTAGTGGAATTCGTTAATAGATAAATTTATAAATAAATAAAAAAAAACCGATCGCGAGAATCCATTTTATATATCAATAATAATAATAATAATAAAAATCACGATTTATATAAGTCATAGAGTAAAAAAAAAAAAAAAAAAAAAAAAAAAAAAAAAACTTTTTCTTTTCCCTTCGTTATTATTTATACGTCGGCTTTTTTTTTAAAAACAAAACAAAAAGGGGGAAAAAAAGTTTTTTTTTTTTTTTTTCAAACAATATTTTAAAAAGTTGTTGGGAAAAAATTCAAAAATAAAAATTTTCAAACCCCCCCCCCAAACAATTTTTTTTTTTTGCCCTTTTTTGCCTTTCGAAAGGGTCAACAACCCCAACCCCAACCCCAACCCCCCCCCCCCCCCCTTTCTTTCTT